CCCAGCAATGCACAGGGGTTACTTCTGGCTCTACACTCAGGAATTACTCCTGGCGGTGCTCAGGGGACCATATGGGATGCTGGGAATCGAACCCGGGTCAGCCGCGTGCAAGGCAAATGCCCTACCTGCTGTGCTATCACTCCAGCCCCCGATCTTTAAGCTTTAGGGGCAAGGACAGGTGTCTTTATATATATATATATATATATATATATATATATACACACACACATATATATATATATATATATATATATATAATGACCATGAGAGCAGTAACAAAGCTTTTGGGTTTAAGTCTCAGTCATACTATGATGGCTAGAGCGATAGCACAGCAGTTAGGGCATTTGCCTTGCACGCAGCTGAGAGCCCGGAAAGCTACTGAGAGTATCCTGCCTGCATGGCAGAGCCTGGCAAGCTCCCCATGGCGTATTCAATATGCCAAAAACAGTAACAACAAGTCTCACAATGGAGACGTTACTGGTACCCATTCCAGGAAACCGATGAACAACGGGAGGACAGTGCTACATACAATAAAACACCTGTCCCTTCACCAGTGCACATTTTCCACTACCAAAAACCCCAGTATACCCCCCATCCCACTCCCTCCCTCTACCTGTGTGGCAGATGATTTCCATACCACTCTCTCTCCACTTGGATCACATTCAATATTTTGACACCGACCCACCATTGTTACTTGGGATTTTACCCCAACACTCAGATCTGCTGAAAAGGCAACATTAGACAACCTGTTTTCCATTGCTGATTATGAACAGCATATGATTTTGAAATTCTGAAATCTTAATAATTAAATCTGGAGGGATTTCTGCCAAAAGTTGCTGGATTCCGAGATTTCTTTCTGAGTCTCTGGGATCATGGCTTAAGCAGCTCGATCAGTAGTCAGAGGGCCTGTTCATGGGTGGCAACTCTGGGTCTTGTTGGGACGGGTGAGGAAAGGACCAGTTCCCCCGCTCCCCAGGTCAGCCGAGTGCAAGGCAAATGCCCTAACCACTGTGCTATTGTTCCAGCCCAACCATCACTGGGTATGGCCCAAAAGTATAACAAATAAGTTAAGGGATTTTTGTACCCCTATTCAAATCCCAACACCACATATGGTCCCCTGAGCCCTTCCAGGAGTGATCCTTGAGTACAGAGCTAGGAGAGAGTTCTGAGTACTGTTGGGTATGGCCCAAAAACCAAACAAAAGTTAAAAAATATATATATAAGTCAAGTGGTGGAGGGTCTTGGGCACTTTGCTGGTGGCAAGGTAACTGTGTGCATCAAAACCACGACAGTTAACACCACTGTAAGAAAACAAAACATGAACTCAGCACGTGGACATGGTATGGAGCACTGCAAGTAGAGGACAGTATTGTACTATTGCAGCATTTAAAAAATAAAAAAGTGTAAATAAGTAAACACACATCAAAAAAGTTCACTTTGTGGAGCATATCAATAGCCTGAGCCTGTCTTTGACTTCCCCAAGATTGGAAACTGACCAGCTGGAATTTCTTGAGGCAATTTCTACCCATAGAATTCTGTGTTGGGACTGGAGTGATAGCACAGTGGGTAAGGTGTTTGCCTTGCATGTGGCCGATCTGGGTTCTATCCCTGGTATCTCCCAAGCACTGCCAGGAGTAATTCTTGAGTGCGGAGCCAGGAGTAACCCCTGAGCATTGCTGGGTGTGACCCAAAAGGAAAAAAAAAGAATTCTGTGTGTTTATTAGTACTGGTGTGGATCTGGAGAGAAAAGGACTCTCATTTACTGCTAGTGGGAATGTTGACTGTCCCAGCCTTTCTGGAAAACAATAAGGATGTTCCTAAAAAGTTAAGGAAATGAGCTTCCATTTGACCCAGCAACTCTGCTTCTTGGAATATAGCCAAAGGGTCCTATTTTCCCCACCCTCTTACACACACACCCTGGGGAAAAGACATTTGCACCCCTATCTTCCTTGAAGTACTACCCACAATAGCCAAAATCTGGAAAAACCCAAGACTAAATGGCTGTACCAAGAAACTTTGGTACATATACATAATGGAATATGACCTGGCCATAAAAAAGTTAAAGTCATGAAATTTACTGCTACTTGGAGGAACCTGGAGAGTATCATACCGAGTGAAGCTAGTCAGAGGGAAAGAGAAAGGCATGGAATGATCTCTCTCATATGGAGGACATAAAGAAACACAACGTTGGAATAGTGAATATCCAAAGACAATGGGAACAAAGAACATGAAAACTGGTGTGCAGTAGGAAACATACCACTTGGGGTGTGGGGGATAGTACAGGGAGGGAGCAATGACCATGGTGGAGGGAAGCCTTCAACCAAGAGAGGAAGTGGTGGCAAGAGGTCTTATGTATGATACCCAATACGCAATAGTACTGTAAACCACAATGCAAAACATATAAATATACAAACATAATGTATATCAATATAAAGCACCTCATAGAAGCAGACTGGTGGGTGGAAGGCAGATGGGGGGCATTGGTGGGGGGGGAGTGGACATTGGTGAAGGGATCAGTGTGGAAACATTGTGTGCCTAAAACCCAATCATGAATAACTTTGCAATTTCACTGTGACTAAATTTAAAAAATCTGTGTGGTTGCATCATAATGACCAGAGAAAGCTGACCCATGAAGGCCCCGCCTCTGTGCATCACCAATGCTTAACTGAATGGGCGGGGGGGCGGGGGTCACAAAGAAAAAGGAAATGACAATAGTAAAAAGGCTTATAAACGTGCAGTTACCAAAATTTAATTAGAAGTCAGACATATAAGGACCCTAAGGTGTTTCTGGCAGCACTTCGCTGTCTTGCATTTCTTGGGAGTGATAAGGGTTAGAAGCTCTGAGTTAAGGAATGGCTAACCCCAGAGCACTCCCTTCCCCCACCATCCCAAGTTCTTCCTGTCTAGCCACCCACCTCCCTGTCCATTCTCAGGTCACTCAGGACTGGTGGCCACCTGTGAGATGGGCTTGACCACAGAGGCCTGCAGGCAGGCTAGATGCCGGCTCTGGCAGGGTTGTCTGGGACCTGCCTGTGGAGATGGAATAGGTTCTAGCCACTGACCTGACCACCCCCGGAAGTAATTGACCCAGACTCCCAGAAAACCTGGCCAAGACTCTATCTTATGTCAGAATACCTCTGGGGAAGAAACCAAACATGGGCACAAATTAAGTTGACTGAGCATGTGCTAACCTGGAGGGCCATGGCTCATAAAACCTCTAGCCTGCAGACGGCAGGGCAGAGGGGCTCAGCCCTGCCCTCCCTCACCCTGTTGCTCTCTGCAGAGCACCCATTTCCCCATCAAGTCTCTTGCTTTGTTGATCTATAGGTCTCCTTGAATAAGCCTCTGATGGAGGCTTAGACAGTGCCTGCCTTTGGACTGAAGGAACCTCTCATGACAGCAACCAACCACCCATCCCGGGAGTTGTGTGGCTTTTGAGAGCCTGTGTAACAGGGATCAACAAATGAATGCCCCTGCTGCTCCCTGACCCGTGACAAGCTTCCTGAGCTTCATTATCAAAGGAGGAGCTTTGCCTACACTCCTGGTGGCTCCTCAACAAGTTTCCGCTCAGTCTGCAAGCAGGTGGTGCTTCTGCGCAGCAGAAAAGCACGTTCCCCCTGGGAGAGTAGCCGCCACCAGAGACGCAGCAGAGATAGCCGCAAAATTCCTCCAAAGAAACGAGGAATAACCTAACCTGAAAGCCAAACTTCAGTGGGATTCCTTGAGTGACTGGCACTCTGCGGCCACGAGGACTCTGTCCGGCCTGCCTTCACTCACTCCCAGCACGCTGAACAGACCACCTGGGTGTGCTCGGCTCACCGACTCTCCACCCTCCACCCGTGACACAGCAGCTAGTTAAGACAGCGCCACTGAACGTGACCCTCTTACAGCTTGTGTGGCCTCAGAGACTCAACGGTCATGGCTTGCACTGTCCCATCAGCGTGGAATGCACTTTTCCTGAATGCCACCCCTCTCTGCACAGGGCAGTGACCAGGATCTCACCAACTGCCCCTGCAGGCCCAGGAAGGGACTCAAGCCCCAGAGGGCCAGGCAGACCGCCAGGTCCCAGAAGCCATCTCTCTGCCCTCTTCACCTTACAACAGAGAACCGAGACGTCCAGGCTTCCAAAGCCAGAACTAGTTAGCGGCTAAGAGAACAGGGCCCTGGTTTCTTCCTAGTCAGAACCAGTCCAATACTCCAGGTGACTTGTGATATTTTTTTCCTCCCCCTCTTTGATCTTATTGGAATTGTAGTTCTCTTAGTAACCATAGGTTGCTTTTCAAGATTCTGCATATCCAGGATATATTCAAGGGACATGGAGGTTTGGGCATCTCCTCATGAGGACCTGGGACGCCAATGTGAAACATTTCTTTGCTGGACTTAGTCAACTGAGCTCTTTACATGTACCACACAGGTCGCTGTACATTTGAAGCAGATGTAAGGAAACTCAGCAGCTCCCTTAAGAAACCAAGTCTGCTGTTCAAGAGATTCCTGATATGACTCAGGGATCCCAACCATCAGCAGCTCCCTCAGAATCAAGCTGAAGCACTCAGATTCCCCAGCAGTTCAGGACAGTAACCAGGTAACTGGCTCATTTTCTTGGGATGAGATTTCTAGAACCCACCTGTGTGTACTGGCACGAGGCTGGCTGCCAGCTGCCCCATCTAGAGCTTGGGATGGTCTCTAGTGTGTCACCAGCCTACATTTCACTTCCAAGCCCGTCTTCCCTGCAGCATATGGCAAATACCAGGTATGGAAGGGGCATGGGGTAAACATCGGTGCATTGCACAGGCAGAAGAATTGGGGTGGTTTAAAGAAAAAGGCTACAGGAGGATACATAGAACCCAGACCGCTCACAAAGCATGACCATGGGATAGCCATCAACCCGGGGCAGCTTTTCCCAACAATGGTTCAAGTCTCAGGGCGAGGGGCCAATAGGGATAGGACTGGCGGGTGTGGGCAAGGGAAACTCTAGATGACTTAAGAGGAGGCAAGGACAAATGCTTGGGTTCTCTTTTTTTTCTTTTAATAATTTACCAGATAAAAAAGAAAAAAAAATAGTGATTGTTTCTCTTCACCCCCAACATTTCAGTTTTCCATGGTGGACTGGGAGGGAAATCTGTGGCAGAGTGAATGGCCTGTGGTCCGGGCTTGGGGCAGATTCTTCCTCTGCTCTGCACCCCAGCAGGAGTGATGGGCAACTGCAGTGGCAGTGTGTGGCTGGCATTGTTCAGACCTGCTCCTGCCCGTCCCCCCATGCATCCTCCCCAACCCATGAGGGGCAGGGGGAGGAAGAAGGGCCTGCAGGAGGCAGGCAGGGAAGCTGGTGGCAGGCACGGCGGGAGGCCAGCCTGTCTTCTGCTCTATTGCACGGCCAGTCTCTGAGACCCCTCCACCCCGCACCCCCACACCCTGCCCAGAACAGTGGGCGCCTCGGGAAAATGCTTCTGAAATCCAAAGAACCTGCGACATGCCAGGTTCAAGCCGGGGAGGTGTGTCGTTGTGTGGCTTGTTCGGAGACATATACGTAAGGTATACTGAAAGTATTCCGCAATGGGGGCATGGCAAAAAAGGTTATGCCTGTTTTTGGAAAAGCCTAAGAAACTCGGATTCTTGTGCTCTGCAGTCACTTGGGCTTCTCTCCTCAAGTTCTACAACCCCCTCCTCCGTCAGCAGGTCTTCGGCGTCAGATGGGAGAGGCCACCGTGTCCACCAACCACATGCTCCCTCCAGCTGTGATGACTGAGCTACTCGGGGAGGGGACCCCCTTTTCCGAATAGCTGGAGAACTGGACCAATCAGCCAAGAGACGAATCTTTTACACTGTATACTTCTCCATCAAGTGACAGCTTTGTGATTCCCAGTCTTCTTATCACCAATGACCATAGAGAAGAACTGGAACGATGGGTCGAACTGACTTTATCGATAGAAAAAAAAATTCCTCTAAAATAACGGTTGGGGACAGTGCAGAGGACTGATTTTAATTTGGCAAAGCTGAAAATCTTTCACCTTCATTGGCTGGGACAAAGCTGGTGGGTGAAGACAAACCTAACTGAGCCAATGGCAAGAACTGCAGGCTATGAGAGACGACGGGTCACACACGGAACTGTATAAATTGTGGCACTATAAAGATGAGAAGGCAGGTCCGGGAGACCAGCTGGGCGTGAGCCTCTGCAGCGGGTTTCCAGGAGGTACTTCTGTCCTGTGGGAAGTGGCAGTACCCAGGTAAATCGAGTGCTTCTCCTCCCTCCTCGTCCCACCAATTGTTGAGTTTCTCATTTAAATAACTATGTACACGAACACAAGCCTGGTCTCTCTCACACGACGGTCCGCCCCTTGAGGGTCCTACAATGGCTTTAGAGAGTGGGTTCCAATTGCCTTTTCGGAGATTTACTGCTTGGGACCGACCCTGAAAAGAGAAGAAATGACCGAGTGTCATACCAGGAAGATCTTTCATGTGAGAGTGCCCCTGTATTTGAGGGAGTGAATCTCAATATCAATAATGAGCCCACAATTCCCACCAGGGCTCTGAAAGCCCGGAGTGCACCTGGCACTCGGGCACTGGAGGGGCCTATACCACACAGCAACCCAGCAAACAGCTGCATACCTCCCTCTGATAAGGATAACTTCTCAAGTTCAGCTTCAAGTTCAGCATCCGAGACCCTAGGGCTAGGCACACTGTTGGCATGACACGGCTCCTGGGGGCCGTCAGACAGATCCCAAGGTTCTTTGGTGGTATCTTGGAGAAGGATGTCTAATTCCTTCTCCAGTTCCTCGCTGTCAAAGTCTGGAAAGAAAAGACTAAAGTCTGAGGAGGAAATGCACCGATGGGTCAACACTGGGGTTAGCAGAACCCACCTAAGCTCCAGGGGCCAGAGTGATAGTACAGTGGCGAGGGCATGTCCCTTACATGAGGCCAACCTAGGTGTGACCCCCGGCACCCCATGAGGTCCCTGAGTAAAGAGCTAGCAGTAAGCCCTGAGCACTACTGGGTGTGGTCCAAAACCCCAAACAGAGAACTCACTTCAGCTTCACAAAAGCTATGCCACCTCACTCCAGGTTTAAAACAACAACAACAACAACAACAACAACAACAACAAAAACAAAATAAAAAAGAAGTGTGCTGGGAGGCAGTGGGAACCTTCCAAGGAAATTATTTTTCCCAGCACAGGGCTTGGTTATTAGCTAACCTCAAACAGGAAGTGATATTGTTTCCCCGGTCCCACAAGTTCCTTCCCGACTCAGAAGCCCCAGTCGAGAGCACACAGCCCAGAGCTAACCAAGTGAGCCCTGTGTGGTGGTAAGGACAGTGGCTCTGGCAACAGCGGTGTATAAGCAGGCAAGGGGGCGCCTCCCCAGCCTGCGCCAGAGCCCCCCAGTCTAAGGAAGCACAGTCCTCTCAGAAAGGACAAGGAGAACTGCTGGCCACTCACCCAAGCCATTGGAGACCCCGCCCGCCAGGGTCTGAGATACTTCATCCTGAGTGTCACAGAGCTGTAAGGGAAAAGCATCAAGATACTGGACTCCGAAAGGGTCAATGAGGACTCGCATTGCCGGCTTCCAGCTCAGGGCTACACAGAAATGCTGCCCTGCTGGAGAATTAGAGCGACCCCCGAGTCTGCAGGGGAAGGAGTCGGGCGGGGGAAAGTGGGACCCAGCATCAGCGGCTGCCACCACCTTCCCCTGCCCCCGTGCAGGTACCTCTTGGATCTGATCCACAAGGCTCTCGGCCTTCTCCACTGTGACATCCTTCATGGAGAGCTTCAGCGCTCCTACCCCAGCCTGATAGGCATTGAAAACCTAGGGCGAGCAACATCAACAGGGAAAATGAAGAACACGTGGCAAAATACGGACCCCACCTCAGTGGCAGCTCTCGGGCATTTCTTACCACCCACAGTCTGCCCCACCGAGGCTGAAACTCCCCCAAAGGAGAAGCAAACCCCCCCCAGCCCAAGGCTGAGAGAGCCCAAAGCCCCTCCCGCAGCACAGCTATAGCAGAGGGCAGAGCCGCGCGACTGGGCACGGGAGCGCAGGGGCAGTGGCTACCATCTGATCTGTCTGCGAGGCATAGATCCGGTCCAAGATGCCTTGGACGGTGTCCAGCTTGGCATGCAGGGCCTCGATGCGCTTCTCGGTCCGCTGCTTGGCCTTGAGAGACCTCAGCGCCTAGGAGACAGGGCAACTTGGTCAGGATCAAGGAAGAAAGTCCCTCCAGAGGACAAGATCGTCCCAGGACTACTTCCTTCTCATTGGTAAGACCAGAGCATACAGCATCTGCCCACTGCACCTGAGAGCCCCAATAAAAGTGCTCTCAGTAGTCTGGGCACCCCTCCCTGCCAGTCATGGGCCGGGGGAGCCAGAAGACTCACCAGCTGCTTCTTCCCGGCTCGGCACGCCCGGCGGGCTTCTTCTTTATACCTATGTGACAAAGGGACAGAGCAAGATGAGTGTACCGTGGCCGGGGACAGGGTTCCCAAGGACAACACTTCCCTCAGGCACTTTCCCAACTGAGGATCAAATTCATTTCAGCCAGTGACAAGAAAAGTGATGCCCAGCGATCACTGCCTAGCTCCTGTGGCCAGCTGAGACTCAGCCTTGAGCGTCTGCATGGGGAAAAGGCCAACGGAGTGAGGAGCAGCTGTTTCAGGCTGGGGGAGAGAAAGCACGGCAATGGGCACCCTTAGAACAGAGTGCCACTAAGGGGCAGGGGACCCCTGCATAGAGTCACTTTACATGTCTCCCAACAAGGCTGTTTCTACCAAGTCCGATGGAGTGAACTGGTGTATCCTAACTCAGTATCTCACATCCCAGGTTCATGTGCCTTTGGCAGGGAAGCCTTGAAGAGTCACCCGAGGGAAAAGCAGAAGTCCCTGTGGAAGACGCCAGGAAGGTTCATGCCTGGATCCTCAAGTCCCTTTGACAAGGTCCGGCTCAATAAATACTGGCCAAATGAATGCTGGCATAGGAAAGCATACCAATTCATTCTCTTCTGTTTTAGGATATTCCACGCTTTCCACACGCACTTTTAATTCTTTGTAATTAGCAAAAATACTGCCTCTTCCATCTTTTTTTTTTTTTGACCCTCTCCATCTCTTAAGGGTCCGCAGACACCGATGCCTCGGAGGCTCTTGGGGCTCGTGAAGGTGGGGCATACAGCGAGGGGGGTCTCCTTACCTCTCTGCTTCCTGGGACAAGGATTCCACTTTGCGCGAGAGCAACTGTTCACTCTGCATCAGCTGGTACACCCCGACGTCTACGTCGTTGACAGGAGATACCTTGGCATGTGGCCCCCGGGCAAACTTCACGATCTGGGGACAGGGACAAATCTGTGCCTGTGTCTGTGCCACAAAATTACGACCTCCCCGGGCACAGGTGCTGGCGGGCATGTCAGTAGCGACAGCCACGCCACCAGGAAGGCTACGGATGAACAAGGCGCCTCCCATACCTTCTCCCCGTTCTGCTCAAGGACTGTGACTCTCTTCTCCTTCTGCAGCTGCAGCAACACCAAGTAAAAGGTCCTCTCGTCTGGGCAGGAGCTCATGCAGAGGCTGCTCAGCTCCGACAGGGCCACCACGGGGTGGGATGAGAGAGGGGAGTTCTGATACAGACGATACACTTCCTCCGCCTTCTCCTGCGGGTGGGGGAGAAGGGTTTTCAGACGGCACAGGCAAGAGCAGGACGCACCAGTCCCGACTTCCCTAAGCAGCAACCTCAGGGAAGAAGAATGTACGTTTTCATAACACCCAAAAGGAGAGAGAGAAAGAGGGAATGTGCCTGCCATGGAGGCAGGGGGTGGGAAGGGAGTGAGGGGTGGGGGGGGGAATACTGGGAACATTGGTATCAGTAGAGAATGGGCACTGGTGGAGGGATGGGTACTCGAACACTGTTTGACTGAAATGCAATCATGAAAGTTTCTAAGTCTGAAACTGCATTTCACGGTGATTCATTAAAAAAAAAATAAAGAAAGAACAACAACAACAAAAGAAGAACATGTGTTCTGCCCAAGCTTGGAGAGAAGCTTGGTGAACACAGACGAAGCGAGGAGTCTGGTCCGGGCGGAAGCCAGCTCTGTGCATTTACTTCCACCTGGGCTTTCACATTCCTGCATCTCCCAAAGGAAAAGGAGGCAGTGTCATGCGGGAAGTGGGCCACTGAGGGGTAAGGCCTGGTTTTCCTTTTTTTTTTTTTAATTTCTTTTTGATTTTTATTAGTGAAACACCATAAAGTACAGTTGTAGACTTAGAGATTTTTGTGCTTGGGTTTCAGTTATACAATGACTGAGTACCCATCCCTCCACCAGTGCCCATTCTCCACCACCAATGATCCCAGTATCCCTCCCATCCCCCCATCCTATCCCACCTCTGTGGCAGGGCAATCCCTTTTGTTCTCTCTCTCCTTTTGGGTGCTGTGGTTTGCAACAGAGGCATTGAGTAGCAATCATGTTCGGTCTATAGTCTACTTTAAGCATATATCTCCCATCTGGGGAGGATCCTTTTTTTCCTTTTTTTAAAATTATGTAGGAGTACTGCTATTTATTCAGCCACTGATTAGCTGATTGAACTGGGCATGAACTCCACCTTACTTTTTTTTTTATAATTTTATTTATTGAATCACTGTGAGAGCAGTTACAAAGCTTTTGGGTCTAAGTCTCGGTCATAAAATGAAACACCCATACCTTTACCAGTGTGCATTCTCCACCCCCAACAACCCCAGTATACCCCCATCTCACACCCTCCCCCTACCTGTGGGGCAGATGATTTCCACATTACTCTCTCTCTACTTTGATCACATTCAACATTTTGACACCAGACCCACCATTATTATTTGGGATTTTACCCCCACACTCAGATCTGCTGAAAAGGCAACAGTAGAGAATTTGTTTTCTATTGCTGGTTAAGAATAACACATGATGTGGTGTGGCTGCAGTAGTGGCTGCGCGATTTTGAAATTCCGAAATTTTAACACTTAAATCTGGAGGGATTTCTGCCCAAACCTCCTGGGTTCCGAGATTTGTTCCTGAGTCTCTGGGATTATGGCCGTTAAGCAGCTTGATCAGGAGCCAGAGAGGCCGTTCGTGGGCGGTGACTTAGGGTCTTGTTGGGACGGGGAGGAAAGGGCCGGCGCCACCCCCATCCCGTGAGGCCTTGTGTGTCTCATTACTGAGGGCCCAAATCTGAATTGTCCAGTGGCCTCTGGAGGACGGTGGCCACCGAGCCGCCTAGGGGGAGCAGGCAGAGGGACAACAGCTTTCCCCACCAGGGTGGCCTGGTGCCAGTAACCTACTGTGGGGTCCGGACGCATTTCTACCAAAAGCCACTGGATTCTGAGATTTGATTCTGAGTCTCTTGAATCATGGCCGTTAAGCAGCTTGATCAGGAGCCAGAGAGGCCGTTCGTGGGCGACGACTTGGGATTTCGTTGGGGTGGGGAGGAAAGGGCCGGCTCCACCCCCATCCCGTGAGGCCCCGCATGTCTCGTCAATAAGGGCCCAAACCTGATTGTCCAGTGGCCTCTGGAGGATGGCGGCCACTGGGCCGCCAGGGGCAACAGCTCCCAACACCCTTTACTTGGTGCTTCCTTCTCTATCTGAGCTGTGAGGCCTGGTTTTCATTCTGACCCACGTGACCCTTGACCTTGGAGTCCTGCTCCTCATTACCCTCCTCATAACCAGAGGAGGGTGGGAGACATGACACCTGTTTCTGGTCTTCCTATTGTTCTGCCACCTGGCAAGAATGCAGACAGGAACATGATTCAGTCCAGAGAGTCTCAGGAGAAAAGTGTATGCCACACAGCAGGGAGAGGACCAACTGCTGTGAGAGCCTAAGAGAGCAAAGTGCCAGGAGCATCACGACCAGTGGGCTGACTGCTGCAAGTTCCTCTCACTCTCTGCAATAGGGAGTGTTAGGAAACTATGGGCAAGGACGGCCAGGAGTTCAGAGGTCGCTAAGAAAATTGCCATTAGAATTCTGGTGTTTTTGAGCCACACTGTTGTGGTGCTCAGAGACTATTTTTGCACTTTGCAGGGGGATCAAATGACAGTGCTCAGGGGGCCAGGCAGCATCAGGGAGCCATCCTGAGCCTCCTGCGGGAAAGCATGCATTGCGGGCCCTTGAGCCATCTCCCAAGCTGATGGGCAAAGGTCAAGAGAGCAAGTTACAAGGCTGAGCGGAAAGGCCTCTCTGATGATGAACAGCGGCAAAGTACAAGTCACTGTTTATGGGTGTAGAGGGGAAGCAGGAGCATGTCTGCTATTGGCTGCAATGCAGGGTGTCTCCCATGCGGTCCCTGACTCTGCAGACTGCAGTAGTCCCTGAAGGGAGATGACAGGCCTGGGCTGAGAGAGCTGGAGCTGACGACAGGCAAAGGGTGGATTGCAGGAGTTATACCAAGAAATGGGGAGGCCATTTGTGCAAGAGATCACGAGAGACCCAACTGGGCAACGTTGAAAGGGGCAGAGAAGAGTGGAGTCAGCAGAATTCAGAAGATAAAACCTGCAGTTTATGGTCACTGGCTTTGGGATGACCAAGGAGAAAGGTGTTCTGGATGACTCCTGGGTTATAAGTAATTGAGTGGGCATAATGCTATTCATTTAATAGCAGGATATATGAAGATTTTTCATTTCTTTTGTTTTTTGGGTCGCCCTTGGCAGTGCTCAGGAATGATTCCTGGTCATGTGTGCGAGTCCACACATAGGATGCAGGGGATCAAACCCAGGTCAGCTGCATGCAAGGCAAATGCCTTATCCGCTGCACTACTGCTCCAGCTCAAAAAGACTAAGGACAAGATATTACATGTTAGATACGCTTTCTAGATGCCTCAGCTCATTCAAAAGATACAGAGGGTGAGCAATTGGATATACAAATCTAGAGCTCAGAGGAGCCACTGGCACAGCAGATACAACTCTGAAAACCCTTAGCATACAGATGGTAATTAAAATCACAAGTATAAGTGAGTCACCCAAGAAACGAAGTAAAAAGCTAAAGGAAAGTCAATCTGTGAGAGATGAATCAAATTAATCTTACCTAATGTGAGATTTAAGAATTCTTGACATTAACCTGTCAGATAATAAAGCTATATACATGGCTGAATACCACGGTAATAAGAACAGCATGGCACCCACTGGTAGATTAATGATGATGTCAGGACAACTGAAAGTGGGAGAAATTTTTTTTCTCACTGCAAATATAAAAGTAAGTACCAGATATTAAAAGTTTATTTTATGGCCAAATAGACACTACAGTAGGGAAAGTGTCTGCCTTACATGCGACTGACCCAGGTTCTATCCCAGGCATGCATTTGATCCCCTGAACACTGCCAACAGTAATCCCTGAGCACAGAGATAGGAATAAACTGAGCACTGCTGGGTGTGGCCCAAAGACCAAATGAAAATACAAAACTAAACAAAACAAGTACCTGTGCAAGAAGCCGAGGATGCCTTCCTAAGATTAGAAACTTCAGAAAAAAAAATTTAAGAGCTGTGTATAAAAACTTCTATATGGTAAGAATAAAAATCATAATAAATAGAAGATAATCCAATATAGTAATAGTTAAGACAGAGAGCATACTAGCAATTCACAGTAGGGCCACATAAATGCCTGTTGATAGGTTGAAAGATTTTCAACTCATACTGTCATTTTTCTCATCAAATTGGGAGAATTTAAAAGACTGACATCAGGGGCCAGAGGGATAGTAAAACGGATAGGGAACCTGCCTTGCATATAGCTAGCCAGTTCAATCCCCAGCACCCCACATGGTCCCCTGAGTCCACCAGAAGTAACCCCTGAGCAGCAAAGAGCCAGGAGTAAACCCTGAGTGAGCACTGCTGGGTATTAACAACAACAACAACAACAACAACAACAACAACAACAACAACAAAAAGATGGATATTATCCAGTGCAGCTAAGTGGATACTTCAATAAAATCTTTGGTGAAAGTAAAAATCAGCACAAACTTTTCAAAAGTAACTCAGCAATTTCTGTTAACATTTAAATGTACATTTGCATTTCCAAAAACCATCCCATAGAAATAGAAATAGTACACAGATGAATGCATAACACATCTATCAATGTAGCATGTCTTTTTGTTTTGTTTTTTGTTTTGTAATAAAAACTAGAATGCTCAAGACTGAAAAAAAAAAAGGGAATGGGGTAAGGGAGGAGTGAGTCATTCTGACAGTTCAATGGTTCTCGAACTTTGATGCTGTGTGCAATGAAGCTATGTACACATAGAAACTGTACTCCCAGTTTAAAATTATTATAAACTAACGACAACTCAGTAAAGTTTTATTTAAAAAAAAAAACAGAAATTAGAATGACTTAAATGTCTACCTGTGAGGCAACTACTTACAAATTGTGGCCTATCTACAGACCAGTCAAAATAATGAAGTAGGGGACTGGAGCAATAGCACAGCAGGTAGGGCATTTGCCTTACACATGGCTGACCCAAGTTCAATTCCCAGCATCCCCTATGGTCCCCTGAGCACTGCCAGGAGTGCATGAGCCAGGAGTAACCCCTGTGCATTGCTGGGTGTGACCCCAAAAGAAAAAAAAGAAGTAGATTTATACTGTGTGGGGCTCTGGAGAGATGGTCATCATGATGGGGACAAGGGGTGGGGGGGGGGGGGGGAAGCAAGTTACTGACCGAAAGACCAAGTAAGTATTTTCACTTACTAATTCATCAGATATTTATTGGTGGTCTACTAGGTTTCTGGCACTATTCCAAAGCCTCTGGAAAGTTTTCTCTTCAAGTCAGACGGACAGAAATATACAAAGAAAATGTTCGGGAGTACTAATAACTACTTAGAACAAAACAAAACAGAAAGTAAGATGACAGCGTGAACAGGAGCCAGTATAAACAGATGTCTGCAAACACAAGGACACACGTGAATGGGAAGGAAAACACACAGAGATGAAAATGGATGATCAGAGAAAAATTCCTTTGTATAATTTTTTAAAATAGCACAATCATGGCAACTTTTAACTTTTTTTGCATTTTTCCAAATAATGTAAAAAGTTACCAACTGCTCTCTGTGTCAAGACCTGGAAAAATTAATTTGCCTGGGAAACAGGCTTCCTTCATATTACCAACATGTTCTGATGGGACCATTTAGTCTCATGCAGGAATCAAGCCCCAACTAGCAGAAGAGAGTACAGTCTCCTGGCATGAAAAAGCAGACGTCACTGGCTGAATAAGCTTCACACTGAATGATGCAAGATGGATATAGATTTAACACTACTCTGCCCCTGGAGAGCTGGGTAATTTTTAACTTTTATTTAATTACTGTTTGGGGCTGGAGCGATAGCACAGCAGGTAGGGCGTTTGCCTTGCACGCGGCCAGGTCAGCAGACCCAAGTTTGATTCCTCCACCTTTGATTCCTCCACCCCTCTCGGAGAGCCCGGCAAGCTACTGAGAGTATCTCGCCCGCACAGCAAAGCCTGGCAAGCTACCTGTGACGTATTCGATATGCCAAACACAGTAATAAGTCTCACAATGTTACTAGGCCCCCTCGAGGAAATCAATGAACAATGGGAGGACAGTAGACAGTGACTATATATTTAATTACTGTTTAATACTGGGCCGGCTCCTGGTACTGCTTGGAGGCCCAAGCAGTATACTGGGAAGAGTGGGGGGTACCAAGCCTAGGGTCTCACTTGCAGGGCATCTACTCTACCACACGAGCCACATCTCTAGCCCACAGCTAGATTTATTTTTTCTACCCTAATAGAATTAGACTACACTGATGTCAGAAACTATTATTGATGAGGCCGGAGTGATAGTACAGAAGTAGGGCATTTGTATTGCACGCGGACAACCTGGGTTCAATCTCTGACATCCTATATGTTCCCTTGTGAATTGGAAGGAGTAAATCCTAAGTGTCGAGACAGGAGTAACCCCTGGGCATCAGGCAGGTGTGCATCACGCCCCCCTCCCTTCCCCCTGCCGCAACAAAACAAAACAAAACAGAAAAATGAGCTATTGTTGGTTCTTGGAATATCTACATAATTTCATAGCCATTCCCAAGTCTACATGTGCTCTCAAAGGATGATGAGTCCCAAGAAGCATCTGAAGGGAGGAGGTAAATGATCAGCCTCCCTTTGCTCCAGGCTGCAGCACACGAGGTAAGAGACTTTAAAGTGTGGGCCTGGCCCGGAACCACCAAAACCCTGCAGTCTCTTAAGACCCTGGCTGAGCCTGGGCAAGTCAGAGGAGGAGGACACAGAGGAATGGGGTGTTTTCGAGGGAAATGCATGCTGCTTAGGGAGGGTGGGAGGAGAGACTACAGGGGGTGAGGTGCAAGTGTTGCATGTGGCCAACTGGGGTTCAATCCCCGGTACCAGGAGGTCCCTGATTCCCCAACCATGACAGGGTGCTGCTTTGGAGGGCCTTTGTTATCCCTACAGACTGCTCTGAGCAGCACATTCTCGGGCCCTCAGCTTCAACCATTCAGTCCAGATGGCTCCCCTGAACACTGCTTGGGAGAACCCCCAAAACAACAGCAGCAAAACTTACTGGGGTCTTCTCTTCAAGTCAGACGGACAGAAATATACAAAGAAAATGTTCGGGAGTACTAATAACTACTTAGAACAAAACAAAACAGAAAGTAAGATGACAGCGTGAACAGGAGCCAGTATAAACAGATGTCTGCAAACACAAGGACACACGTGAATGGGAAGGAAAACACACAGAGATAAAAATGGATGATCAGAGAAAAATTCCTTTGTATAATTTTTTAAAATAGCACAATCATGGCAACTTTTAACTTTTTTTGCATTTTTCCAAATAATGTAAAAAGTTACCAACTGCTCTCTGTGTCAAGACCTGGAAAAATTAATTTGCCTGGGAAACAGGCTTCCTTCATATTACCAACATGTTCTGATGGGACCATTTAGTCTCATGCAGGAATCAAGCCCCAACTAGCAGAAGACAGTACAGTCGTGTTATTGGGAGGGAGAAGAAGAGCTGATGGATTTTGGAGCCCTCCTCAGTCCGAGGCAGAGAATGACTGGGCAAGGGAACACAGAAGCACGTGTTGGCACAGAAAAGGGAATTCCCAGCTGGTTCCAGCTGTCGGGTTCGATGAGTGAGTTTCAGAAATAACAACTGTCTGCAATCTCTCTATTTGGTATTCGGTCAAGTATGTGCACAGGTCATGTGCATGTGTGTGTACACACACATACTCTTTAAGGTTGCTATACCCCTGTCTCCACCCCCCCCCCCCCCCCCACATACACACACTTGGAAGACTGCTATACCCTTATACTCCTGTACACACACACTTGAAGGCTGCTATAACCCTGTCCCCTCTCCCCCCCAATACACTTGAAGACTGCTGTACCCTTAATACCCCTACATGCACGCACACACGCACGCAGACACACACACACACACTTCAAGGTTGCTATAACCAGTTGACAAACATATGCACAAGTTCAAGGTTGCTATAACCCACTCACCCCCTACCACACCCACACCCACACCCCTCCCCCCCACACACACACTTCTAGGTTGCTATAATCTCATAGTTGTTTTGGTGAAATGGGGTGTTGAAGAAAGGTATGTATTGGGATTAAGAGCATGTGGTTACAACCAAGCATGTTAAGAAAAGAAAGATCAACAACCAGGGCCCAGGGCCCTGAGAGTATCCTTTGTGAGTGGCTGAAGAAGCACTCTAAAAGAGAAGGTAATGGAGTGTCTCAACCAAGAGGCTACTTGAAAGGGCAAGGGGACAAGCAGGGAATGGGCAGTGTCAAGAGCACATATGGAACAGAGAACGGAACTGTGACACCCTGAGCTTCGGGAAACAGGGGGATCAGTGGAGGTGACAGCAGAGATGGAAGGTCAGAAACACCAACAGCACTGGCTCAGCCAACAGTGCCTTCCACAGGCACGTGTGCAGGGTGCAGAGTGGGGAAACAGAACACAGCTGTGAGGATGCGCAGTGTCTTAGGACCCTCTGGCCACCGGGGACCACGGTAGGGCCCAGTCTTGGTAACAAGGCAATTTTCTCAATAGTAAGGAGATTGGAACCAGATTTGCTGGTTTGGGGTTGGGTCGAGTTCAGAATCTCAGAAACTCTGGGAAATTCTTGTTAATACACAAGAGAAAGTAACACATTTTCCAAATTTTGACTTCTCATCGAAACCCCCATGACTACGGAAAATTACATTTCAAGGGTAACAATAACATGATTATTTCTGGTAAGTCTAACAACAGCTATATGATACCACAAAGCACAGGGCAAGGAAGGTCAGACAAATGCAGTGATCTACCCTGGGCTGTCCCTACGGACACACCCACGGGCCTGGAGTGTCACCACCCCAGCTCCCAGCCAGCCCTCGTCCTCTGGGCACCCACCTTCAGCAGCTCCACAGCCACGAGCACCTCCTCGGCAGGAACCTTATTATCACCCAGCATGTTGGAAAGAGTCCATTTGAGGGGTTTCAACAGGAAGACGCCGACCCCCCAGGAGATCCAGCTGCTGTCTACACTGGCCATGAAGTCTGACTCCCGCTGCAGCTCCCCTCGGCTGCGGGCAAAGAAAAAAAGGGCATGTAGTAGGCTTAATCAAAGTCCTAACTAAACCCCATCTCCCTCCCCTGCCACTGACCCCAATGAGGGAGTTTATTACAGCTACCAGAAGCATCAGTGGTTGGGCCCTTGACCATAGCAGCTACTGTGAGCAGCAATGTTTATGCTCCAGCTCGAACCCTCACAACTCCGAAAGAGAGAAGTGCTACGGGGAGTTTAGCGACTGAGAAAATAAGGCGAGAGGCCGAATCTAAACTGTAAACATCTGGGCTCAAAGTGCATGTTCTCTGCTAAGATGATAAAGGCACACGACATTACAGATCTATGCTGAGATTTCCTACGTAGGGACAGGATCGGTACCAGGAACATCCCATCTCACGACGGGAAAAACTGAGATTTTAAGGACACCCCAGGATTTGTCCAGGTCATATGATTTGGCAAGTGGCAGAACCATGATTTAAGCCCAGGTCAAAGTTTTTGAACTACTCTGCTGCTTCCGGGGAGAAACGTCATCCTTAGAAACTCTGCAGCTTGCCAGGTGGCATCAGCAGAGAGGCAGCAGTCAGGAGAGGAGAAATCAAGGTGCTCAAGCTCTCCTATCACAGGTTGAAGGGAGAGCTGTGCAGTAAGGGACTGTCCCTGCCCTCACCGACTTCTTCAGCCAGTACCTCCTGGAACTCCAACTTTCTCCACAGTACCACGAGTCTTAGAAAAGAGAAATTTCAGAACAGGGTTTTCACAGCCAAGGAGGCCAGAGGAAAGTTCTTCTGGGGGGGTGGGGGGAGGAGGGGGACAGGAGACCTCTTGATCGGGAAATTGCACGCTGCAGGCTGGCTACCTCCTTCCTGTCCCCAGCCAGGCTGCCTTCCCCAGGACATATGCAACATCCAGGCAACGGGGCCTGAAATGTGACGACCATGAGTACAACCAGGGCTCCAAGGGCCGCCCAACCCACAGGCTGGGGCTTTTCCTCTCTGAGACTCACTTTCCCCTTCTACCTGGGGTGCCTAACTCTATCACTGCACGCCCGCTGGTTTGGGGAGGAGCTGGGCAAGTGCAAACATTGCCAATGGGGCAGGCCGCAAGTCAGAGGCACTCCCACCTCCGGTGACACACACACACAGCACCTGGACGCCGTCTGGGGCACTAGGCAAGGCGGTGAAGACCCTGCTCCGTGCACTTTAGCCCCGCCGGTGCCAAAGGCAGGCCAGGGGAGGACCCCCACCAGCCCCCTCCTCCATGCCTCCAGTTCTTAGCCCCGAGCCCCCTTTTCTCTCCGGGTAATCCATCCACCCGGACCTGTCATGTCATGCACGGGGCGGGGGGGGGGGGGGGGGGAAGGATCCTTCAAATTGGGAAGACCACCCACCCCGGCGCCCCTGCAAACTAAGTGGCTAACAGGACTCTCGTCCTGACAAATCACTGTCGCCTCTGCCAGGCCGCCGGTGGACCGTCTGGACCTCAGCAGATCGGGACGCCCCCACGCCCGGTCCCCCGCGGCCCCCAAACAAGCCCGAAGCTACGGCCTGCGTCGCCGACAGAAAGCCGCACGCGGCGGCTAGGCGAGGCCCCGCTGCCGGCGCTCCCGGGGGCGTCCCCGAGCCCCCCACCCCGGCCCCGGCCCGCCCGCCCGCCAGCCCCCGCGCCGGCCCGGGCCCGCCCTCACCGCAGCAGGTCCTGCAGCACCGTGGCCAGCCCCAGCGGGACGCTGCCCTTGCGCTGGAAGGCCTCCTGCAAGTCCCGCAGACGCAGGCGCACCACCCCCTGGCGGCGGCTGTGGCTCAGCACCAACGGCGCCCAGAAGCCCATCTTGCTGTCCCAGTCGGTGCTGTTCACCTCGCGACTCCGTTTGAAGGCGGAGAACAGGAAAGACATGCGCTCCTCATCGTCCTCCCACTCGGGGGGCAGCGAGCCCGCGGGGTCTCCCCCGGCCGGGGCCTCGGCCTCCCGCTCCGGGGCCCACATCGGAACCCCAGCCCCGCCAAGGCTCCCCAAACGCCAGCCCAGCCCTGCGCCCCCTTCCGCCCCGACTTCCCTCCCGGCTTCCGTTCCCGAGCCCCCGCCTCCTCCTCGCTCGCCGACGTCACCGCCGCTCCGGCGTGAGATTAGTGCCCGGCGACGCCACTGCGCACGCGCGCCGCCCTTCCTCCCACCCCCTCCCCCGAGCTGGGTTCGGCAGAGGGACTCAGAGCGCCTGCGCCGGCCGCTCTTTTTTTTTTTTTTTTCCTTCCCCGCAGTCTTTGTGCGCAAAGCTGGGCTCGCTCGCTCCGCGCGGCCGCCGGGTCGCGCCGCGCTGCGCCGCTCCGCGATCATAGAGTCTGGGCTCGTTGTATAGAGGGGCAATCGATTACCCTCCCAGTGCGTGACGCTCTGGCGGCGCGGTGCTGGGAAGTCCCGCCGAGGGGCGCGGGGTATGCCGCGCTGGCCGCCTGCTCCGCTGCTGCGGCGGTGGCCTTTGCTGCCAACCATTCTTGCTTCAGACATTTATCATTATCATTATTATTATTATTATTAATTGTTATTATGTTAGTGTAGGAGGACTGCTGTTTCCCCAGTCAGTGAGGAAGCTGACTGAAACTGGCATGAACTCCACATTACTTTTTCTTCTTGTTTGTTTTATTTATTTATTTTTTTAATTGAACATCCGCGAGATAGACCATTCCAAAGCTATTCGTGATTGGGTTTCCAGTCACCCGAGTTTCAGACCTTATGGAAACTTTCCACACCGCTTCAGTGAAGGAGCGTGGAGGTCAGCGGGGCAAAAGCCCGTCTCGTCACTTGAGCGGGTGGGAGCCGTTTAGCGCCGGCCGGTGCGCCTGGCCTTCCGCGGGGAGGTGCTGTGCCCGTTTCCTTCTCAGGGGCTAGAGCACTGCGGGTCCCCTCAGAGCCCACAGCGCAGTGGCCAGGGCGTCTGTCCTGCACGGACCCCGGTTCGATTCCCAGCACCCCAGTTGGACTCCTGCGCTTGCCAGGAGGGAAGATTCCTGACTGCAGAGCCAGGAGTAACTCCTGAGCACCCTTGGGTTGTGCCAAAGATAAAATAAGAACCTTTCCTGAAATCTTTACCGACTCAATTGCCACTCTGCTTAGTAGTTCCCGTGTTGTGTCCTACTCTTCAAGTTCCCCGCGGACAGGGGGAAAGGCTTAACAAACAGGTGAGAGAAAAGACGAACACCCTTGTCCTTGAATTTTTTTTTTTTTTTTTGCTTTTTGGGTCATACCCAATAATGCTCAGGGGTTACTCCTGGTTCTGCACTCAGGAATCATTCCTGGCGGTGCTCGGGGAACCATATGGGATGCTGAGTATCGAACCCGGGTCGGCCGGGTGCAAGGAAAACGCCCTACCTGCTGTGCTATTGCTCTAGCCCCTCTAATCTTTTTAGAACAAGAGCTCATATGAATATTTTCACTGAAAGCTTAGAGAAATGAACTCTTACAGCGTGTTAAGAATAAAATGGTGGTGTTTGTACAGCAGGTAGGGCGCTTACCTTGCGCGCCACCCATCCAGCTTCAGTTCCCTGTATCACCTGCAATCCCCTGGAGTGATTGTATGTGTAATCTCCTTGAGTGATTCCTGAGTGCAAGCCAGGCATAACCCCTGAACACCGCTGGGTGTGGCCCAAAAAGCAATGATAATTAAAAAATAAATTGGTATTGGGTCAAGGAGTTTGCTCAAAGGGCAGCGTGCATGCTTTGTATGAGCTGAACCCACAACAGGGACCCTCGCTCAAAGGGCTGGTATCTCATGGAGATGAACTCCAGGGGACCACTGATGGTGACACCTGAGCACCAGACAGACTCAGGGGTTCACCTGAGGTGTCAGGTCGAACTTGGTTAGCAACGTGCAAGGCAAGTGCCTTACCCCTGTACTTTTGCTCTGCCCCCAAGTTGGTTTTCTTTTATAATCCTTTTAAAACTCCTTACAATTAAAAAAGATGGAAGGAGTTTCATATTGTGTTGGACCGGATATTGATTGCCATGATTGAAGATGAATCATGAGGCCGGATCCTTGTGGTCTTGTGACCTTGCTCTAGTATTTTATCATTCTGAGCCTGTTTCCTTTTTAAAATGGTGTTTGCCCACTGAGCTGGTTGGAGGAAGTATCAGGTTGTGAGGAGAGTGCCTGGTGGAGTATAGTACTGTTTTCCCTGAGTGTCAGGATGTTCCTTACTTATAACTGAGCATGAGAAAGAATTGGAGCAAGCCATTTGAAAGCAGGGGGAGGTGTATGGTTGATCATATGTCAGGAAGTACCAGCAGATATTGGTATGTTTGTTGTGTTACAGAACCCCACAAAATGGGTCTTTTGTGATAAAGACCCATTTAATAATCGACTCATGATAAACAACTGAGGGAGATTCTGCCCCAGACCCTAACTCCTTTTTCCTGTTTATTTGCTTTTTGTTCTGGAGCCACACTCAGGGCTTATTCATAGCTCTGTGCTCAGGGATCACTCTTGGTAGTCTCTAAGGACCACATGGGTGCCAGGAATTGAACCCGGGTTGACTTTGTACAAGGCAAGTGCCTTTCCTGCTGTACCATCTCTCTGGCCCCTTGGCCCTGACTCCTTAAACTGTTGTGGTGTATCTGAATGTGGGCATGGTGAAAAATTTTATTTTTAAAAATTATGATTTATTATCACTAAGTGTTCACTTTGTATACCTGTTTTATATACCCGACGTCACTTAAAATTTTTTTTTGCAAGTGGGAAAAGGTTGAGAAGACCTGCTCTACCTTTTCTCAGCCACACCCCCCTTCCAACCTCATTTTCTTCCTTTGGCCCACCTGTCTTACTGGTTAGTCCCTTATATATCTGGTTGTTGCTTGGTTTTGTATGTGGTGGTGCATTGGAATATCCTGGATGCCCTATAAACTTTATTAGAACTATTAAACTGTCTTAGAAATGTAGTTTCTAATAGCTCACGGCACCATCTCTGACATGTCCCTTGCTCTCCTGCCCAGGGAATACTGAAAACCATCTCCTCCCTATTTCATTATTCTCCTTCAAAATGCCCAGTTACCTCTGGACAGAGGGAGTTGAGCTTGGGTCACACTGGACTCTTTCCCCCATTATAACTGAGGAAAATCTATCCATTACTACAAACTGGTGTCTAGTTTGTAAATCAAGATAAATCTGGTAAAGATACCTTGTTTGGGTATTATATTAGCTATAATAATTTTAGTTAGGTGCAGAGCATTTCTGAAAGGAATTGTATGTAATTTTAGCAAATAAATTGTACCCCAAGAAGCTCATTCATGCTGTGCTGTCATGCCCAATAGAATGGCTGGCTCTCATTTATGTTTTCTTTCAGCCTATGTCAAGACAACTCTGTTCCTCAGCAAGATAGAGGTACAAAATTATGTACCTGTGGCCACCTGGATCTTAAAGTGTCTCTGGGTTTGTGACACCTCTTGGAATAGTGTTCCCTGTTATGAATGAGATAGTGGGAGTGGTAGAGAATGAAGAGAATGTCTCTGCTGATCCCAAGAGGGGAGATTGAATGCACTACAGCCCACAGACCCAGTCTGCAGAAACTTCCTGCAGGAGTGTGAAAAAGTTATGGTACACAGGAACACAATTTTCATTTTATAATAGTAAAATTAAAAACAAATACACAAGGGGTTGGAGAGATAGTACAGTGGGTAGGGCTTTTGCCTTGTATATGTTCAAGTTGGGTTCAATCTCTGGCACCCCATATGGTCCCCTGAGTCCCATCAAGAATTATCCCTGAGTACAGAGACAAAAGTAAGCCCTAAGCATGACTGGGCATGGTCCCCAAGCCTCAACCAATCAATCAATGCACAAAATACTGTCACAAATATTTTTTTCCTGCCTCCGTGATCCACAAAATATTTCTCCTATTTTTAATAAGTCTGCAGGTGTTATGAGGTTGAAACCACTAGTACATAGCAAGCATTTGCTCACCTCAGGCTCCCATCTGCTACTCTCTCCCTTGACCCTGCTTGATGGGCATCCTTTGGGTTTCAATGTCAAGGTAGCTTCTTCATATGGTCTTATCTGGACACCCTCTACATAGCATCCTTGCAATTGTAGAATGGATGAAGAGTTGACAATACTTGCTGATGAATCTCAGCATCACAAAGAGAAAGACATGCAGAAATGATGCTCCCTGAAGTATTGCAATAGGAACTATGTACTCACCTGTAAAGTATTTTTGGTTTAAAAATCTAGCTGGAATCTAATCCAGCTAGATTAAGTACTACTAAATATGAGGTTTTTAAAAAAATCTGATGATAGAGGAACATGTTAAATAAGAACTAAAGTTGCGATCATCAGAATACAGGCTGAGAAATTCTGCAAGATATTGATTCATTTCCTCAATGGATAATGGCAGAGACTTTTCATATGCAGTATTGTTGAGTCTTGTTCAGATCCAATTCACACAGTCATAGAAATCCACATGTAATCAAAATACGATCATTTAGAAAACTATTTAATATTCAGTTGAGTATTTGGTGATGCTGATGATTCATTTTGATGAGAATGACATGATAGCTATAGATTACCAAAGTCTGAATTGGGGCTGAAGTGATAACAGCTGAGGCTCTTGCCTTGCATGCAGCCAACCCAGGTTCAATCCCTGGCTTCCCTTATGCCCCCAGAGCACTGCTAGGATTAATTCCTGAGTGCAGAGCCAGGAATAATCACTGGGCATTGCTGAGTGTGGCCCTAAAACAAAAGCCCAAAAAAGTCTAGTACGGCTAAATATTTATTAATTTTAATCTTTTTTTTTTTGGCTTTTTGGGTAACACCCAGCAATGCTTAGGGATTACTCATGGCTCTGCACTCAGGAATCACTCCTAGCAGTGTTGAGGGGACCATATGGGATGCCAGGGATAGAACCCAGGTCGGCCACATGCAAGGCAAATGCCCGACCTGCTCTACTATCACTCCGGCCCCCCAGCTAAATATTTATAACTGACTCTGTATTTGCAGTTGGGATAGGGAAGTATTGGTGAGTTTACTCTTCATACTCTGCAAAGAGCCTGACACTTAGAGATCACACAATTAAAAAATTAT